TTTTCTTTTATTTTTTTATTTATTTTTCGATCTTAAGTTTTTAAGCAAGGGCAGTAACCCAATGTTTTCTTTTTTTAAATATTCTTTTTTTATGCCACTGATTTTTAGATGTGAGATTTATAAGTGGTCAGCAATACGAAGCACAGTTTTAACAAGTAACATTTTGTTGTTTTGCGTCTACACATTCATACATTTTTATTTTTTCTCATATTCACACATGTATACGTACATACTCATATACAGGATGTTAATATATTCATTGTCAATAATAATATATTCGATAGAAATAAAATATTCAAGAATCAATTTTAAAAACCAAAATAAACACAAAAATTAATATATAAAAATATCAGTTAATATTTCTTTATCATAAATTATAAGCAATTGAAGTTTGTACAATGAAGTGAGATGAAAAAAACAATGAGATTGTTCTGTCTTCTTTACATTGCCATCACATTTTATTTTTACCTTATTTCATTTATTACGAATTTAAATTGCTTAAAATTTAATAAATGATCTCAATCAACATTTTTATATAAATTTTGGTCTTTCGAAAATCGATTCTTCAAAAAATATATATCTTATGAATATATTAATATCTTATATTTACATACATACATGTTCTCTTTCTTGCTTTTTTTTTTCTCTTTATTTCTGTTTTTCTTTTCTAATTTTTTTATTTTTCCTATTTACTCATCTTTTCTTTTTCTTTCATTCACTATGTTATATTATTATAACTTACTCTATCGACATTGCTCAATCATTATAGATTTTTTATAGAGCTTTTGTCTTCTTTTCTTATTGTTTTTTTACGTTGTGTCTAAAAAGATAACATGCAATAAAAAATTATTTCTTGTTATGTTAGGTAAAAAAAATTTACAACTTTAAATATTAATATTATTAAAAATTAGTCTTTCTTTATAAAATATATTAATTAATTTAACAATAATTTCGTAATATTATCAATATAAAATATTGATTTGAATTAAAAAATAATATAAATTTTACTTTACCGATAGTGATAAATTATATTCAGAGTTAATAAGCTGGAGCTCGAAAATCGGGCATCCGTTGTTGTTGTTGTTGTTGTTGTTGTTGTTGTTGTTGTTGTTGTTGTTGACCAAAAGGCGGTTCTTGGTAACCAGTATCAGTCGCATCAGGATAACTTGTATATCCTGTTCCACCAACAGGATCTGCTTCATAACTTGGTGCAAATGCAGCATCAGTTCCTTGTTTGAATCTTTGAAACGCGAACCATGCACAGGCAGCCTATTACATGTATATAAATATTAAATTAAGAATAAATAATATTTTTGTAATTCTGTAATTTATTGTAATCTTTTATTTTTATATAATTAAATTTTTGTATTGTATAAATATCAAAATATTTCTATGATTTAAAAATTATTAATTTTATAAATATTTGAATTTAATTAATATTTCGAAAATTTATTTATATCATTACATTGATTTATTAAGTTAAAAATTTAATAAAATAAAAGTATTTGATTAATTTACCCAAGTAAAAATGGAGAAAAAGGAAAAAGCGATAGCGCTTTGAACGTTGTTCACTCCATAATTATCTTTCGGTGTTTCTGATTTATTCCAAGCATTGGTTAAGTAACAAAATCCAATAAAATAAAGGAATGCCCAAAAACCAGAGAATCTAAACATTAAAATATAATGCTTTAATTATTTCAATATTTTATAATACAAATTTCCTATTAAATCATTAAATAACTTTTGATTTTAAATGAGATTTTATCGAGATTTTTTTTATTAGAGATTGAATATTATTAATTTAATATATTTTTTTATAAATATTTAGTGATGATTTATAAGAATATGATTTATAATAATATAATTTATTATAATAAACGATAAAACTAAAATTAGCCATTTATTTTTAAAGTGATATAAGTCCAATTTTAAAATTAACTAAGACTAAGTTAATTATGAATAACTTCTTTTATAAATAATAGAATTAATATTGTATATCTTTATAAATTCAAAATTCAAAATTTAATTTAAATATTATTATAAAAATATTTTTTTTTTAATGATATAAGTTCATTTGTAAAAAACAATAATTAAAACAACTTTTTAATCATGTTAATTATTAATTATTACAAATTCTTTATGTATCACCATTAAAGTCTTTATAGTTTGATGAGATTTAAAAGTAATGAATTTTATAACATTTATTTTAATACAAAAATTATAGGAAAAAATTCATAATTTAAAGTAAGTCCTGCTTTTAGAAAAAGAAAGATTAAAAAATTTAACAAAATAATTATATTTTACAGAACTTCAAAAAAAATCTATAACAAAAAATATAACAATACTATCGTTTTATTCTTTCTTACTCGTTATGAATTTCACGAGGTTAAAAAAAAAAATAAAAAAAATTGAAATATGAATAAAACTATTATTACTTATCTTAATAAAATATTTTATTTTTTATAGTTATTTATTATAAATTCTTATATAATATAACTAAAAATATTTCTTAATAAAATCAATTTTACGTTTATATGTCTTCATTTTAATTATTTTTTATATTAAAAAAATATATTTCAAAAAAGTTTATTTCAATTAAAATATAAATTATATATTAATATTAATTTATTTATATTTATAATTTATAATTAAATATTAATTATTTATATTTTAATTTAATATTTATATTTTAATATAAATTATATAAATTGATTATGTTTTTGAAAATTTGTTAAATAAGTCCATTTGTAGCTAAAAAAAACTGTTTTATTTTTTTTATTATTATATAAAATTTAACATGTTTATAATTTAAAAATATTATCCGAATTTATTAATGTCAATATCAATATTTTTCAGTTAATTCAAATAATAATAATTCAATAAACTCTTAAATATCTAAATATATGAATAATTATATCACTTTCAAAAAAATAATTCGTATATATATATATATATAATTTGCGTTATAATTAATAAGTAAATTATATATATATATATAATATAAAATATAAATAAAATATAAAAACAAAAAGATATCAATAATTATCCTATTTCCTTAAATTACATTTTTTTATTTATAAATTCATTTATAATTATTTATCATTAAAATTTTTCATCTCATTTAATAATAATATTTTTTTTTAATATAACAAAACAAAAATAAATTGATATATAAATCATTTTAAAATTTCATTGTAAAAATATTTATTCGTATTTTTATATATCATACAATTAATATGAATTTTCTTATGAATGAGTCATTACTGAATATATTTTATTTACAATTAAAAAATATCGAAAAAAAAATATATAAAATCCTATAAGTAATTTAAATAATAAATATCAATCCATGCAATTTTAAAAAGAATTAAAATTTTTAATTTTTATTAAAAAAATTATGATACGAAAATAAAAGTTAAAATTATATTACAAATAATTATTATAAATACATATATGTAGAATATTTTATTTTAATCTTCGAATGCAATTATTTCCTAAATTATAAGTCATTTTAAAAAATTTTTTATATTATTTTTCAAGAAAAAAATCTAATTGTATCAAATTATGTAATATGCAAGAAATTTCAAGATGAGTTTGAATGAATTCAGGAAATGGATTCATCTAAAAGAGATTTGTAATATCATATATAATGATATTACAAATTCCATCATATCATATATAATGATATTCTTTTGTAAAACAATACAAGTTCTATTTGAAGATAAAATAAGGTTGTTTCATCTAAATCTACAATATAATTTTTATTTATTTTGATCTCTAGAATTTGAAAAAAATTTTCTACTTTTTCCTCTTCAAAAAATCTCATGAATATATTCTATACATATATTCTGTATATACATATATACAATTTAGTTTTAACAATTTTAGAAATTTGTTATAGTTTAAAATAAGAAATACATACCCTAAATCAAGTAAGACAAAATGTTTTCTAGTCTTAACAGAAGACATCTGTTCAAAGAGATATTCGCCAGCAAGGAATCCGATACTGGCGAGGAAGGCAAGCACTCCAATTCCTATTCCATAATTGCAAGCATTATGATCTTCATTATAAAGACATACCTCTTTTCCGCCTTCCTTTTTTATGTATCCTTTGTTGCTTATGCATCCGAATACAATTATTGCGAAGAGCTAAAAAATTAAAATTAAAATTAAATAAATTTAATTTAATAATTATATATTTAATTTAATAAATAATAATTTAAATAATTAAATAATTTTTATAGTCTAATTTAAATTATTTTTAATATAAAAATAAAAATTATATTGTATTTTTTATATATATTTAAATATACTATATAATATGATATACAAGTTGATTCTATAATTATAATGATAAAGCATTAAATTGCATAATATTTTCCTCTATAATTTTTTTCTAATTTTATTTGGAATAGAGTTATTTAGAATAGTTTAATTACTAGAATTACTACAATTACTAATCTTATATGCATTTATTGTTATATATATTTTTATATATGTTTTTTATTATTATACTTTTTATTTTTATATATTTTTATATATGTCCTTAAAATTTTTTAAATTTATTAATTTTATTTATAGAATAATTAATAGAANTTTATTTTTTATTAAATATCTATTAAATATCATTTTTTTCAATTTATTAATATATGATATGTAAATAAAAAAAAGAAAAGAATTTATTTTGAAATAATTCATATATGCAAAAAAAGAAAAGAAAAAATAGAAAATAACTTATAAATTAGAACTTACAAATTAGAATCAAAAAATTATAAATTATAAAACAAACTATTTATTTTTAAATAATAAATAACTTATTCATGATTATTGTTTATGATGAAATAATTTATTATCCAATTAATTTATGGATTGATTTTCATTTACTTTTGATATTATCAATTATAGTATTTATAATTAATATATAATTTTATAATTAATATTATTTTTTTATAATAATTATAATAATTATTATAATTTTATAATAATTATTAACTAAAATTATTTAATATATTTGAACTCTTTTTTTATTTATTTTTTAAATTATAATTTATATGCATCATATAATACTTTTATCATACTTTATTACATATTTATGATTGAATTCTTCAAAAATTAATCGATTATTTATACATCAATATATTTAACAAATAATATAAAATCGATACCAATATAGAAATTAAAAATCCTATTTAATTAAATATTTAAATTATCTCAATATTATAAGAAATTATAAGAAAATTTCTTTTTTGTATTCAAATTAAAATTTTCGCATTAAAACTAATCTTTCATTTGATTTTCCATGAAATACTTGTTTTTTTTTTTTTTTTTATGTACTGTTAATAAAATCGAATTTAGTTTCGATTTCGTTTGGATCTGTCTTAAGATAGCAATAAGTTAAGAAAATCGCAAAAAAAAGCATCATAATTACAAAACTAAATAATTAAAAAAAAAAATTTTTATTTATCTATTTCTTTTATTACAATCGCAATATGAAATATTTTTTAAATTATTTTATAAAAATAATAAAAATTATATAATTATAAATTATATAATAATTTATAAAAATATTTCATAAATTAATTATTATTTCATAATTTATTAAAAAACTTCAAATAAAGCTAAATTGAAAATTAAATTAATAATTAATAATAATAAATTTTAATTAAAATAAAAAAATTTTTGAGATTTTAATTAAATAAAAATAAACAAACATAAAGAAATACAATATAATATAATATGAAAGTAAATAAAATAGCACTTTAATAATTATATACATAAGGATTAAAATAATATATATTCTTACATTATTTTTAATAAAATTTATAATTTCAAGTTATTTAATGACATTAAAATTTTGAATTGCTAATTTTTTAATTTTTCAATTTAGCTTAAATTTTTATTTTTAATTTACCTAACAATATTTACAATTTTTAATTAAAGATTAAAAAAATTAATTAAGACTCTAATTTTATTTTAATTTTTATTTTAATTCTACTAATAAGAACTTTGTAAACTGGATAATATATTATAAAAATAATGAAATTTCTTAAATTAATAAAAGAATTTATTTCTCATTAAATTATTAAATAATATAATTTATTTTCTAAATATTATAAAAATTATATTTGAAAAATAAATATAAAATTATAACTATATACTTTTTTTTAAAGTAAGTTACTTTTTTTTATAAGTTACAAAGATTAAAATTATATAATTATTAATTATTTTTGTTATGACATATCAATTGACATAATTTTTCTCTCTTCTTTATATTTTAAGTCATAATTATAAACTTAAAAATTTATATATATTTATTATTTTTAAATTCAATCTGTATTTATTTATGAATTAATTACTTAAATCCATCAAACTATCTATTTTTTTGGTCACTTTTGTATTATTAATTTTTTTCCAAGTTTCACTAAAATTGTTCGGAGAGAACTTCATTTTATATCTACATTGTTTGTTCGTACTAATATTGATATCTTACTTCGTTACTTATTTACTTACATTCGTTGTCACTATTCTTCTTGTCACTCAAACTTTTCATATCTATATCTAAATAAATCCATCTCTAAATATATTTTCTAATATGTCTTATAAGTGATTAGTATTTTTTTTTTTAATTCTAAATTGCTTCAAAAATCATATAACATTTTCATGACTTAAACCTAAAATTTATCTTATGATAATTATGATGAAAGATTTTATTTGAATTATTTATTAATTTTTCATCTGATGATGATAAATGACAGAAAAATTAAAGTAAAATATATTCAAAAATCATTAAAAAATTATATGGAGTTATATATTCTTTCTATGGGGTCTATCACAGGAATTTGCGAAAAATCAATAAAACCCCATCGTGTCAAACTGGTGGGGGTGGTTTACTCTTTAAAATCAATGTTCGTCGCATAAAATCGATATATGTTTTAATTTAAAAAAACATCAATAGAAATAAAAAACGAAGTATTATATATTCAAGGAAAAAACTTACCAAACATATAGCTTTTAGAATAACTTGAGGCCTTTGAATGAAGGCAATAGGATCGAAAGGGGCTCCTGCCTTTCCTCCACCGTACGCTCCACCGTCCATCTTATTGCGACTGAGCTGAAATTTGAAAGCTCGAAGCTAATGGAAGCGCGCATGCGCTGAGAGAAAATTCTCTTTTCTACCTCCACTACTCAATTTTTTAGGGTGGATCCTTTCACAAGAGCGCTTCGGGTGGATGGAACGTAAATTAATCGAGAATTCGATCCTTTTCGATTGAATCGCAAAATTTAATTCAATCACAAAATTATTCATTTAATTTAATTAATATGAATTTACATTAATATATATATTAGCACAGTTATATACATAAATTATATTATTAAGTTTTCATTTAATTCTTAATAATCATTAAGTATAAAATTGATAAAAATTGATAAAAAACTGGAATAGAATTTTTTATAGAAATAATTGCAAAACACAAAGATTAAAATTTATACAAATTTATTTACAATAAGTAATACACTTAATATAATACCATTTATTACTATTAAAATTATTTATTATTTAATGAAAATAATAATCGATTTGAAAAACAGCATCAATTGAGAATTTGATATGCTTAATAAAATATGATAATAAAATCGATTATCTTTTTTTTAATTCAATCTTCATACTTCATTATTAATATTTTCAATTTTTTATTATATATTTATTTTTATTATTTTATTACTTAATATCATTTGAAACTATAAAATACATTAAAATAAAAAAAATTTTTTTATTTTAGAAGCAAATATTAAAAAAAATTTAAAAATAATAAGAAATAATTTGTTGTTTTTTGTAAATTGTGCTTATATCATATTGTTTAAGTTACATATATCTTAAATAATACAAATGTTACTAATCCTAATACACTAATAAAAGTACAAATTTGCTGGATATTATTATGTTTTGGTTTTATCTCTGACTGTAAAAAATAAATTAAAATATTTTTAATTATTACATAAATATCATAGAAAAAAATTACTTTATTAAAATATATATTATCAACTTATATAAAATATTATAAAATATATATATATATATATATGTAACTTAAGACATACCCTTAAAATTAATTCTTCAAGTTCAAAAAGATTTTTCTTTGCTTTTTCTAATTCTGTTAATGTTGCATCAATAGAAATAGGTAATACATTAGAAGCACTCAAACACTTATTAAGATCAACAAAAATATTAATTTTTTCTTTTATCAATCTTAATCGACAATATGCTATAAGAGCTTGTATTAAAGAAAATTGTTGTTCTCCATGTTTAATTATTTGAAGAAAATGTTCAATCCTAAAAAAATAATTTTGTAATTAATCTTTAATTTTTTTAATAAAATTAATTTGATTAATGATTAAGTTAATCATTTTATTGATTTTTGCAAAAAAATAGTTTTTAAAAAATATCATAATAAAATAATTTTCAACCTGTCTTCAACATTTGTTATTACAATATTGGATCTTCTTTTTTCAATATTTAAAATATTTTGTAATTCTTCTGCTTTTTTAGAATTAAGGCCTACATTGAAATTTTAGATTAGATATAGAATATATTTTACAAGTATAATTATAAACATATAATCATAGATAATAAATTTTGAATTTTTTATTTAGAAAAAATGAATGAAACATTTTTTTTTAATTTCATTACTTAACAAAAATATATTAAAAATTTTCAATTTTTACCTAACATAATTAGTTCTTGCACACTGAGTTCATGTAACACATCAGTTGATATATTTCTTTTTTTACATTCTGGTATCAATTCAGATGCATTCAAACCACGTAATAAAGTGGCTGTTTGTTTAGTAAAACCAAAAGGATCGCGATAATTATTCATTGTTTTAAATAATGCTAAAGATAAAAAACTCAAAATATTTTAATATAATAAAAATATAAACATAATTCAAATGTAGAATAATAATAATGTTTTAATTTAATCTTTAAAGAACAGTGAAATTTAATTTTTATATATATTATAATTGAATTTATAAAATTTATAAATTTATAAAGTAAAACTCTTAATTTAAAAGATTTATTAATTTAAGATTTAATATTTTAAGCTAAACTTAACATTATATTAATTACACAATAATAGAATTAAATGGCAGTATTAATTTATTTGATTTTTATTTTTCATTCTTCTTTAAGCAATTCATTATTTAGGGATTATTTATGTTATAATAATTTCTTACCGTAAAAAATGGTTAAAATAAATGAAACTGTTCATAAATCTATCAAATATTTGTAAGTAAATTTTATTCTACTCATTTTATAATTTCCTAGTAAAGAAAAGAAATTTGGTTACATAGTACTAAATTGATATCAAATCTCTATAAAGTTTGGCTATAAAAGTATATCTACCTATTGTTATTATTAATCGATTTTAGTATCAAATCTTATACCAAATTTTGCATCAAAAATAGATTAAGTTATATTTTAATTCATAACCTATCATTTATTTGGCGCTGATTACAAAACAAATTTGTAATCGTGATAGACACTAAAAGAATATTAAATTTTATTAAAAATTTTATTAAAATATTTTATTAAAAATCTTCAAATACAGAATAAATCTTGAGACTTGTGGTAATGTTACAAAAAAATTCTAAATTTTTCTTTTTCAAAATAAAATGATTTAAAATTAAAATATGTAAAAAAATTATTTACAATTTATTTTTTTATTTTCATTTCAATTTTAACATTTAAATCAACGTTAATATATAAATTTTAATTTGATTCTAACTCGATTCAAATTAAAAGCGGTTATGTTTTAGATTTATTTTAATTAGACAAAACTAGATATACATAAACAAAAAATAACAAAAATTTGTTGAGAAAATTATAGACGATTTAATAATGATAAAGATTTTGTTAATTTTATTTGCAACTTATAATCCTTTTATTATTATATAGAAACTACAACTTGAATGCACAAAAAAATTTAATATCAAAATTGTGATTAATAGAAGAAGTATAATAGAATTAAAGAAAAGAAAATAATAAAAATGCATTCATTGCAATAAAAATAAAGATAATTTTTCTGAATTAAAAAAATAAACACAACAAGAAACATAAAGCAGAGTTTTAGTTTTATTTTTAACAAATGAAAATGTAAATATATATTACATAATTTTTTTATATAAAAATTATATAATGCATATGATTTGTTTTATATCTTTAACTTATGAATGTATCTATGTATAATCTATGAATAGTAGTTATTTGAAATCAATATTCATATTTTTGATAGCAAAAAAAATCATTTATTGAATATTTAAAAATTGTATATTAAAAATATGTAAAAATATGTAAAAAGTAGTTCTCAATAAAGATCTGAAACTAAAATCATTTAATAATCAACCAAATATTCAAGTTTTATAAATGAATTTGTAAAAGACAAGCACATATAAATTTTTTATAATGTTAATGTATCAAATGAAACTCAACTCAAATTAAAAATTTTTTTATTTTAAGTTTGTTTTCATAAAGTTTTTAAGTAAATTTTTCAATTTCATGTTATTTCTTTTCCTCAAGATTTTTTCCTGAACTATTCTATTCAAGGAATTGTGTATTCATAGTCTAAATGATGTCATGTCCTCTTTCATATCTTCTTTTTTGCTATAAGCCAATGAATTATTAACATGAGAAAAAAAAATCAGAAAAAAAATTAGTATTAATGAAATATATAGTAATGCTATAATTATAATAAGAAAAATAATTATTTTTGCATAAATATAGAAGTAAAATTAATCATTTGCAGTTAAAAATACTTCATTCAGAAAGGAATTTATTCTATAAATAAAAAGCTCATTATTAAAATATATTGTAACATATTCATGAATAAACATAAAATTTATATTTTAATTTTATTGGTTCAGAAACTTATTATATATCTTTGCAATCTTACATATTCTATGTTTATATATTATTGTCTATAATAAAATATCTATTTAAATATATGAGATTAATACAAATATAATATATATTGAAATATATAAAAAATTAATACAAATATAATACAAATAATAATATAAATATAATAAATATGTTTATATTATTATATATACTATAATAATCTTTTATATATAAAAAATTAAAATAAATCCAACATTATTAATGAAAAGAAATGATAATAATTGTAATTATTTGAAAAAGAGTAAACATAGAAAATTTTTAATAATACAGATCTTGCATTTTTTCATTGTATGATAACAATTGTAATATATTATTGTATATTGTTACATCTAATGCTATCATTATTTTCTTCACATTCAATAATATTTATTACAAATTTCATCCGAATATAAATATCACTATAACAATATAAGTATAATACACATATACTTGATATACTTGAAATGTATCAAAACTTTGTCCTTATGACATAAAAATTATCAATTTTTTTTACTCTTAGAAATTTTACTAATAGAAAATTCTTTTTATTCTTAAGCTAAAATAATCATTATTTTTTAGAATTTTATCTTTTATAATTATTAACAGATCAATTCGTCGTCCAAGATATAAAAATTATTGTGTTCATCTATATATATCTAATATCATATGCTATATTGTATTTTATATTTGTTTTTTATAATTTTATTTTATTTTACCATTAAAAAAAGACAATATCAAATGAATTCGCAATCTTACTATTTCTATTATAATCTATCTCTAATATTTTATTGGATAATTGAAGAAACTGATTTGATCTTTTATAATATTTCCAAAATAATTGATAAATAGATTATATGTAATATAAATATAGTATTTTCGTGAAAGAAATACGAAAAAACAATCTAAACAATAAAGATGTCTAATATGATTGGTTTATATGTAAAAGACCATAAATATTAAAAGAATAAAAATTTCGCAGCAAATCTTTTAAGTGTTACATTTGCAAAGTTTAAATATTTAACAGATGAAAATTGAAAAATTAAATAACTATATAAAAAAAAAGAAAATGCTTATGTATATGTTAAAATTGGTTGTATATAAAAAAAATTACCGAAATTTTGTTATTTTGTAATAGAAGATATTTAGAATATTTTTCAATATTCTTAAAACATCTAAAAATTCAGATGCGCAATAATTCGTAAAATTATCTTTTAAAAAAATAAAACAAATTTGTTTCGAACACAATTTTAAAAAAATATTTCCTATCTATATAGATAGTAACTTTTTAATAGTAACATCTAACATATAATGTATATTCAAAGAAAATTTGGGAAATAATCTTAATAAATAGTAATAAAAATTAACTTCTTTATATATCTTTATCTATGACGGTGATCTTTATAATATAATAATTAATATAATAATATTGCTAATTAATATAATAATATAATAATATTGCTAATTATGAAAGTAATATTATAAGAAAAATAATATCAAAAAAATTGAGATTTTCACTTGTTTTATGTAATATTGATCTATATATTTATATTAGGAAAAATTTTTTATCAAATAATTGTGAAGTAAGCAGTGACATAAATTATTATTTTCATACTTATTCAGACCAATTTCATCTTCATTTCAATAATAATATAAATCAATTGATTATAATTCTAAGATTTGTGTGAAAAAATATAATTACAAATTTTTATATTGTCTAATAACTAAGTTAACTTTATATAAAATTATGACATATTTATAAATTTAATATTAATAATATAAATAATATATAACATAATTTCATTATAATAATGTATTTACTGAATTTATATTTTGATTAAGATAATTTATTTATTTCACAGATTTAATAAAAATTGATTCAATAAGATGGAAATAATTGAAAATTTTTTCAATATAAAAATAGAAATAAGGTCAATAATGTCAGAAGAATCAGATTAAAATTCAATCATAAATAATAATAATAATGTAATAAATAAAGAATTAAGAAAGAAAACATAAAATCAAAATATTAAAATAAAAATAAAAAGAAAGAAAAATAAAAAAAAACAATACTAAAATTGCTTTTGTTTCAAAAAACACATATTAACTTGAACTGAATAAAAGATTAATTTTGAAAATTTTTAGAAATTGGAAGAACAAAATAACTAATAAACTTCAAAGAACAAAATATTTTTTTATATAAATTGATTTATAAACAAAATAATTCATAAATGATTTGTATAACAAAAAAAGTTTAAAAGTTTTAAAAGAGATAAAATTACATATAATTATAAATATTATTCTAGTATTGATTCAATTAATGTGTATATATGTAAAAAATATTTTTTAAATATTTTTAAAATATCTGATAAATATTTAATCCATGCTTTTAAAGCAAAATTAATAAAAACAAATAATTAAAAAAAAATGACAGGAAAAATCATTTCACAAAATCAAATGTAAGATAAATATATTTAAAATTTACCAGTATTTTAAAACTATTAAATCTCGATTTAAAAAATTTAAAAAACATATAACTTTTTTTATCAAAAAATGTATAGAAAAAAAATGAAAGGACGCGCGCGCGCGCGCGCGCACGCACGCACGCACACACACACACACA